GAGGAGGAGGAGGAGGAGGAGGAGGAGGTCACTATGGTCCACAGCCCCACCAGGGAGAGGTCACACAGCGCAGCTCGGCGCAGGTGGTCCTTGACCGCAGCCCTCCTGGCGAAGATGAGACGGTCGGGGGAGACGCCGGCAGCTTGCAGCTCCCTCCGCAGGTTCCTCTCCGACACCGGCGTCCCCTCCAACATCCACAGGACAGCGTTGCTGACATTGCCCAGCAGGCTGGTCCAGGAGGAGAAGGTCACGGGGTCGACCTTGAAGTGCTGGTTGAAGTTGCAGAGGACGAAGCTCGTGGCAGGCAGGAGGTTGTTCACCTTCCTCATGCTCAGGTCGAGCTCCCCCAGCGTGTCGAAGTCGAGCTTCGACCCTCCAGAGTTCGCCCACAGCTGGTGGACGAGGCGGTGGGAGGGCCCGAGGAAGCTCTCGGGGAGGAGCAGGAGGCGCTCTGTGAAGGACGGGGCGCTTTCAGGGGAAGCGACGACTCGGTCCGCCATGTAGTAGTCTATCCAGGGGGCTCCAGTGGTCCCGATGTAGCCGTGGTAGTGCACCTGGACAGGAGCAGGGCGAAGGCTGAGGACATCCTGTCTGTGGTCGGAGGTGTATCCTATCAGGTCGAAGAGGATGCAGATGCCTGCTGAGTTGACCAGGTCCGCTGCCCGCACCGACTCCTCCCTGTCCCACTTCCTCTTCACGTTTGGCCCTCGCCCGAGCATGACGATCTTCACGTCTCCGACCAGGTGGCGGTTCTTGCTCTCCGCAGCCGCTGCCTGCTGCTGCTCGTGGATGAGGAACACGGTGACGTCCATCCTGGACAGGTCGTGGAGGGAGAGCACAGAACGCATCATGTTGCCCACGGGATGATCCCGTAGGAGGTCGCTGGAGATGTAGCCGATGCGCAGGCGAGAGGAGAGCGTCGGGCTCCAGGAGGGATATGCCCAGCTTGGGACTTCCTCCTCCTCCTGCTCCTGCCTGCTCCTGATCTCCAGTGGCTGCACCATCCCCATCGTCCTGACTTCCTCCAGGCTCAGGTCGAGGCCCCAAAGATGGAGAGGAGGCTGGGCCCCTGCCCCACAGACTTGTCCTCCCTCGCACTCAAAGTTCCACTCGTTGCGCTGCAGGAGCAGCACGTCGGGAGGGAGCTGGAGGATAACGGACATCATCTCTTCGTCCTCCTCCCTCCACCTCCACTCACACCCCATCACCCGCACTGGAATCATGCGGACGAACGGGAGGTTGGCCATCTCCATCCTAGTCAAGCACCCGTCGGGGCGTTGACAGTCTGCCGCCTTGGACTCCTTGCAGGCAAGGCAGCGGCGGCATCGTTCCAGCAGTGAATCATCGAAGCGGAAGGCCCGAGCGATCTGAAGGCAAACTCACTCCATCAGCAACGATGAAAGTTGGAGGGAAACCTGAGACGCCCGATGCAGGTTCTCCTTTGCGCTGGTAAGTTTGTTATGGTGCAGATCGTAGACGGTCAGCTGGGAAGGAGGGAAGCAGGATCAGCAGGAGGAAACGAGACAGCAACAGCACTGCACACTTGCAAAGAAGTGTTGTACAAGTTGGTAACGATGTCCAGCTCGAAGTCAGGGACTTGACAGCCAGTGATGGCTGGTTGACATGGCTCGTGAGACATGCGCTTCATTCCCTCCTCGCTGTACTTGATGAACGTGATGGGGTCTCCCTGTGCGAATAGACAATCAGAGGAGGAGGAGGAGGAGGAGGAGGAGGAGGAGGAGATAATGAGGAGGAGGAGGAGGAGGAGGAGGAGGAACAGCAGGAACAGCAGCAGCTAAAGAAATTTCCCACCTGGTGGAGGTAGAGATTTGCGATGGACCAGAACGCGTGCTCGTACTTGAGCTGATGGTGTAGAGTGTAGTTGATCCCAGCAAGGAGAACTTGTTCTGCCGTGCGGAAATCTTTCCTCTTCCTCAGGATGTTCGCGTACGTTACCGACGTCATATGGTCCACCTGCATCTCGGCCGCATGCTTCGCAGCGTTGTACGCTTCCTCTGCTCAGCATGTCACAGATGGAATTGCAGCTCCTTCTCTCACCCTCCATCCCAATCGCCATGTAGGAGTTCGCCATATTGTTCCATGGCACGTTCGAGTCCGGACGGAGACGTGCGGCCTCTCGCCATTGCGCTATCGCCTCCTCGTGTCTGCCAGCTTGAGCATGATCGTTGCCAGCAATCAGGTGCTGGAGGGGATCAACGTCGCTACTGGCACCAAGAACTCTCCCTTCCCAGTGGAGCAGCAAGAGGAGGAGGAAGGTTGTGCGCATGCCCAACCATCAACGCAGAATCTGAAGACCATGAAAGTCATCAGGGAAGCAGCTCAGGGATATTCTTCGTTTGATGGAGAGCTATCATCCTTTGCTCTTGCGACTATTTCAGTCCCACACGCTCTGGCGATGATTCCTTCCCTATTGCCCATCTCTCCCTCTCCTGCCTCCCTCCCTTCTCGTTACGTTCTTCCTCCTTTCTTTCTCCCTCCTCCGCTTTCTCACTCCCTTCCCTCCCTCCCTTCCCTCCCTCCCTTGAACAAACCGAGGATGGCATACTCGGCATCGCCAGGACAAAGTACCGGTCCTTTCAT